ATTATGTTTTTGTTATTATTACTATTTAATGTTTAATTAATTATAAACATTATAGATTCTTCTGAAGAAGAAACTTCAGAATCTACTTAGATTAGAATGGAATAATTATACTAAAAACCCTACCATAATCTTAAAAATTCTGAATCAAAAATTTTATTTTCACCTATGATATATATATTTGTTTCTATACTCAATCCTATATTTGATTCTAAATTCGTTTCCACATCTAATCTATAAATTCTAATTTAAAAACATATAATAAAATATTATTATATTGAAAGAATATTCTATGTTCTAGTATACATATCATATAGATACGTAAATGACTATAAAAGTATTATAAAAAAGTAGTTAGTTAAACTGTAATATACATAGATAAGTTAATAAACAATAAAACAACACTTTGTCTTCTTTTTTGCTAAATTGTTACTTTTTTTTTGTTAAATATAAGATTTCGCTGATTTAGCTTATATAAATATCTTTTTATATACTAACTTTGTCAAATAAATTAATAAATTGAACATAAAAGCTGAAAGCTGGTAGATTAAAATAGATTAAGTGAAGATATTATAGGGTGGGCGAAAGCTTTAAGTTTACTTAGAACACTTAGCCTGATCAAAAGATAAGATAATCTACCTGAGTTTTTTTATTAATTAGAACATTTGTATAATATGTCCTATCTCGAATCAAGCCCACCCGGGTTCTACCTGGGTCCACCTATTAGGTGACTCATCCGGGTTCTACTCAGGTAGTCAATGGCCACCCATCAGGTAACCCGGGTAGTATTTTTTTCGACAGGTCCAATCACTAGTTAAACCTCTTTCTTCAAAAACTTGATATATTCTTTTTGGTGTGCTATCAGGATAATTTATTTCTTGTAAAGTACCATCCTGTATATAAGTATTTCTCATTTGAGGTTGTTGACCACCAGATTTGAAATTTATTCGTGATACTACTAAAGTGTTATTAGTTAATACAGCATAGTTACTACTATTATTAAAAGCAAAAATAGCTATACAAGTGGAATGCATTGCTTCAAATATTGGAATTGCTTTGTTTTTTAATTGCTATGCTATGTTATTAATTGTCCAATAATTGTCACGATTATTACCAGGGTGAATAATACAACAAGCTTCAGTACGAATTTGCTCTTCAAATGGAAGACTATTATTTTGTTGCTAGTAGATATGATCTAATCGAAGCTGGCCAATTGTATCACAAAGAAACTTACTGACCATAATACTGCCTCTAGCTAATTTTGGACATAACGGTTATTCACCAATAGGTGCCCAAAATGTTTTTTAACCATTATTTGCATAAAACACTAATTCATCATGTATTACTAATATATGTAACTTTTCTCCAACAGGAAGAACTAGATTGATTTGTTGTGTTAAATTGTCAGACCAATCTGACATTAATAATTCATACTGTGCTATACAATTTAAAAAACTATAACGATATTCTATAACATCTAATCATTCATAGCCATCAACATATATATCTTTTTGATATGATTTAAATTTCCATCCTAAATGTTTTAATCATTTTTGTGCTGTTTTATTACTAATAGTTTTTCTTATTTCAATTCTAATACTAGGAAATATTTTATCACGAACATGGTCACAAAGTTTAGGAATACTTAATTTAAACTTATGAAAACTTAAATATTCAAGAAGTTTATTTTGAATATCTTTATCAAGTAAAAGTGACTGAATTTTTTGATATTTTTTCTGTTTTGAAGCTTGAATTGTATTAGTTTTTGTGTATTAGTTACCCCAAGTTCTTATTAAACATGCAGTCCAAGATCCATGGTTGAGTAAAGTTGAAATTATATTACTTGCTTGCACTCTAGTAAGTCCTGATTCTTTAAGCCAAAGGTATTGCGCAATATACTGGAGCCTAAGGTCCTGTGCTCTATTTTTTATTTGTTGTTCTAATTCAGATAATGTATATTCAGAAGTTTCTTCTTCAGAAGAATCTATAATGTTTATAATTAATTAAACATTAAATAGTAATAATAACAAAAACATAAT